ATATAATATTCTACCGTATCTTATTAGTGGGACACACGCGTTAAGAAATATGAGTTCTTACATAATATTGTTCTTATTGTTGATGAAAGAAAATATTTGATTCATCTCCAATAACTATATTTATACAAATAGTATAATGTAATAATATATAATATAATATAGTGGCCTATTTATTACGGAACATTAGGTAGGCACCAAAAAATGAAATAATAATAGTTTAAATATAATACACCTACCTACTAACGTATATGGAATAAAAATTAAAAATAGTTTAGGTTAATTGTTTTAATATAATATATATTAGAAGCTTTAGAAAATTTAAATATCTGTTAATTTTCAAACTACATGGAAGCCAAATATCATAGAATAGATACACAATATAATATCTACATTAAAAACAATCAATGATCATTATAAAAGTCTCCATAAAAGTTCATATTTGTAATATAATATTATGATTTTAGGTAGATACAAGGTACCTACGTGCAATAATAATATCTCATTCCATTTATATTATGGTCATAAGCTCATAAGTCATAACCGTCCAAACCATTGAATACTTCACACCCTTAATAATGCCTCATTAACTTCAGAGTATTATTGATACAGACGTTAATATTTCAAAATAAAATCAACAAAATATTCAATAATGTACCAACATTAAATAACTATTTAATATAGGTATATAATCATTTGTGCCATTCTTTTTTTGTGGAATAATATAATATAATAAAACAAAATATACATTGTACCTATTATATTATATTTATAAACACAGACTATAACACATGCCACGTATCGACTGAAACTAAAGAAATTCTTCACATTATTGGTTTGTATTTGTTTTACAATATGTTTTCGGGCATCTGGGCGTCCTAAACAAACACATTTCTCGACTGCGCGGTTGTGAGAATACTGCGATGGGAATTCGCTATGTATAGTATTGTCTTGGGTACGTTATGTTTGCAAAATTCAATAATAAACGTTTTCATATCGTCGTCTCCCGTATTCGCGAGCAGACGATCGCTATGTAAACATAAACAAATAGTACACGAAATAGATGGGTATGTCATAGGTCAAGTCACCCAAATGTTGTTTGAAAATAATCAATATTTCTTACTTTTAAAACATAGGTACCTATATGTGCAAAAATTAAAACCGTACGGAAAGTCGAAGACAACATACTATAATATGCACTTTGTACAATCGTTAAGTACTCATAATATAATATTATATAGGTAGGTAAGTATAATAGGTACAATTGATGATATTATAGTTTTAATGAAATAATATATATTTTTTGTTTATTTCATTTGAAAAACTCAATCAAAAATAAATTATCTGTTGACAAATATAGGTACCTACTGTACTATTAATCATCGCAAGCATAAATAAAATTAATTGAACCATTACAATGAAAATAACTAAATTATTACCATTAAAGCTTTTGAAATATTTTAGTGCACAGAATGAGTTTAATTTTAATGATGACATATTTTTCTTAAGTACCAAAGTAAAAATATAAGACTATTTTATGTCAGTATTTATTACTTGGCAATGTTACAGAGTTGTATTTTTTATCGTATTTATTCTGGACATTTTTTGGCTCTACCTAAAATGTAGGATTTTAAATGTTTATTACTCCTTGAAAATATTTAATAATAAAATGGATATTTTAATATTTTTATAATTTACCTAATTAAATACTGAAACTAATTTAATTATCTTTGTGAATTTGAGTAATTTATAGCAATTAATTATTAATTTAGTAAAATTGTTTATCGTTGACATTAAATATATAATACCTATACACAATAATTTGTTTGGTAAGTATTATAAATTACATTCTAAAAGTATTTCCACAAATCATTTATACATACCTAAAATTGTATTATTTGTACACTGGAGTGTATTATATTATGTATGTAGTTAACAATATATTATAATAATATAGTCTATAAAGTACAAGATTTGTTTATCATAACAATTAACAATAGTAAATATTGTTAATTAGAACAGCTACTTATACTATATTAATCATAAATAAAAAGTGAATTTTTAAATTAAATTAATATTATACACAATACTTGATATTATTTATAGACTATAATATTATATTGCCAATATTTTTAAAGTCACATAATATTTAGGTTTTTATATTTTTATTTTTCATATGCCTAATAAGACGTATATATTATGTTTGACAAAGCCGGTATATTAAGAGCTCATTTCAGTGATAAAATCATTTTTCGTCAAGCTGAATAATATATTGCATTGATATTTTATATATTTTATCTTGAAAAAGAGTCTCCGCATGTGTGGAATTTAAATGAAAAACATAACATATAATAGATAATGACATAATAATATAATATATAAGACTCGTAAAATATGTGTGTCCGAAAATCCCGATATCATCTGGAGAACATATACAACGCGAATAACATATATTACGAGCGTACCCTGTTGTGCTCGAAGCACATGATGAAATGTGATTTATCGTACTAATTCTTGTTATTTAGCCCCTCGGGAGAGAGGATGAGAGAGAAAAACAGGGTAGTTCGCTGTACCCAGTGGGGTGCACTATAAGACGGCATATTGTATATAATATAATTTATATAATATACCATAACCACACATGCAGAATATATATTATATGTATATACATGCACATAGTAATAATCCAACATGTGTAATGTATAATCGTTTCATTCACTATTTTATGTACTTAAACGATCAACATCCGTATTAATGAATTCGTTATCATCCGGAGGTCGTTGTAGCCCGCTTGGCTTACGCGCCTTGTTACAATATTGTAGCTGAGTTATCGCTTTGTGGCGGCAATATAGTTTTTTGTCATTATCGGCGAATTAACGTCTGCAGCAGTCTACTCAATAAACCTATAGAAAGTACCTGTTTATAAAACTTCACAGAGAGCTCTATTGTGATGGGTTGTAAAAAAAAAAAATGAAAAAAAACACTACATTTTGATTAGGGTCATTCACTAATCATTTTTTCTCAGGGCCTACTACAATACGCTTCCGGTCACCAATGTGAGATTTTGCAGAAATTAATTCTTTGAGAGAGTAAATGATGAGGTCATATTGATAACAATACATTTTTCATACCTACACAAACTTGAGCATAAAATACATTACGTTTATCGTATTTTAATTTTTAAATTCATTAAATTGAAGAAGTGTACTAGAAGTAACGACATTTTCTTCTTATAGGATAAAGCAAAATTCAAAAAAATTATTTTGAAACTTCAAATTTTTTATATTAATATACCTATTATAATATTATATACAGATAAATTAATATTTATAATTTACAACTGATTAGATTAATTTAACTATTGCCCCTTATTTCAAAATAGCATTTATTTATATTTTTTTATTACTTGACCTTAATGTGTGGCAATCGTTGTATAAGTATATTTACATTACGATATTTCAATATTTGTTAAACTATATTTAAACTGTGTTTTATTATTTCAAATATTAAAATATATATTTTTATTTTTCAATTTGAATGGCTTTTAAAGTTTGGTAAACTTAACACTATAATATTACTTGTAAATACAAATTACATTAGGTATATTGTAGGGCAGTAGGGCAACGATTTTATAGGATTTTATAGTCTATTTTTCTACCAACTTCAAAACAAGTTAAAATGTATAAACCCATAATGATCTCTGAAATTTAAATACTTGTATGTGCATAGTTCATTGATTTTTTTGTTAAACGTTTTAGGTTGTAGATATTATTGTCTATATATAGGACAAAAGGCACTTTTTTTGTTACTACTTTTCAACTTGCAAGTCAAATTAAATTTGTAATAAATAGTAGCTAATATTTTTTATATTTACCATTCTGTTTTTAAATAAAGTGAAATTAAATCGTTATTATTATTTTTTTAGTGTAAAATAAACGGAAACTTATAAAAATCATGAGAACTTTATATTTTATTTGCATATACTCCTACATTGTATTTTTCTTATTAATATCAAGTTATGTAGATATCGAGGTAGGTATATAAATGATATATTTTATTTTTAATAATTTTTTAATTAATTCTATATACATTTTTTCTGTTGTTATATTAAAAATATTGAACTTATATTTTAGTTAAGTGAATCATGTGCTTAAAATACAACCACAGTATTTTGTTTCTGAGAATCACTTTTTATAATTACCATATAACCTACCAATAAAACCTATACCTACTAAGAAAATTATCTTAAAAATTTTTTTTTCCATAGACTATATTTATAGTAATTTTGTATTGAAATCATTCGTTTTTATCTCATGGGTTAAGTTGAAGCTTGATAACACCTAATTAGTAATATACAAATATATATAGCTTATAACTACAATATATGAGTGATCTGATTTTTAACAAAAAAATTCGCTGTTTTAAATAAAACTATTTATACAACACATGTCTAATCTATGGGCGAATTTATCGAATATTCAGTGTAAAGTATAAAAAGTGATTGTATTAGGCTATTTTATTTAAAATCTGCAATATTTGTGAATTTATTTTAAGTGGGCACTACAATATTGAATACTGAGTGAACTATTTTGTATTTTTTTTTTTTTTTTTTGTCGCATATACGTATATAATAAGTTATGTGTAGAGATGATGAAAATATTTTGTTATAATGTGTTTATGTTTATCAAACTTATTAGGAAGTGTATCTCGGTTGCGTTCAGGGAGCATTACCGGGCCGAGTTAATTTTCCAGTAACACTCGTCCTCCGGGTGCGCTCGTCACACAATATTATTACACGGTCAAACATTATAATATTGTCACAACAAAAGCTGGTATACAATTGCACTAAGTCGATGGCATCCGGGTCGTAGTAACGGAGTAGGTTGTTTAATATAATATAATAATATTTTATAGAGCTACGCAGAGGGTAGTCTGATGTTATAAATAGGTTATATATAGGTAGTATGTTATATGCAATAATATATTAGTAAAACGAACGCCACTCACCCATCTTTCTGTTCAGCCGCCCGATCCCTTTGCCTTCGGTTTTTGAACCAGTTGGATACCTGGGTCGTGGTCAATCCTGTGGCCTCTGCCAATTCCCTTTTCTCCCTGGGGCTCGGATACGGGTTGCTGGCGTACCATTCGCGCAACACCATCCGGGACTTTTCCTTGAAACAGTAGCTGGTCTCCTCGCCGTCCCATATGGTCCGGGGTAGAGGGAACTTGCGGCGTACCCGGTACTTGCCGACCGCACCCAGCGGGCGGCCCCTGAGCTTCTCGGCCTCCACGTAGTGCGCCTTGAGCCAGAGCGCCTGCAGCTTGGGGTGGTTGTGGGCGGAGAACTGGTTGCTCTCCAGCAATCGGTACAGCTCCTTGAAGTTACCGCGGTGGAACGCCACGATGGCCTTTGCCTTGAGCACGCTCTCGTGCTTGTGCAGCTTGTCGCAACTGGGCAGCGACCACAGGAACCTGCCAAGCCGCTCGATGTTGCCGGACTGCTGGAGCACCTCGCACACGCAAGCCACCTGTTCCTGGGTGAACCCGAACGACGGCAACAGTGGCGTCATGGCGCTACCTCCTCCGGCACCACCGCTGCCTCCGCCACCGCCGCCCGACGACGAACCTGGCGAATGCTGTTGGGGCTGGCTGGCGGTGCTCGCGTGGTGAGGCGATCCCTGTATCCCGCTGATGATGCTGGGCCCGCCCGGATGGTCCACGTTGAAACTTCCGAAGTTGCCTGCAGTACCGCTGCCGATCAACATCACTGCTGTGCATCCACTCGACTCAACGACTCAACGACGGCATGACACGACTGGACGCGTAGGTATGTATAATTTTATAGCACAGACAGCTGTTTATAATATAAGGCAGGTATAGGTAGGTGCGATTGTACGATGCGATTGCGAAGAAAAAAAAAATTAAAGATATCGATAGCGAACGACGGCGGAATTTAATCAAACGTCGAAAACCATAGTGATTAGAGGTACCTATATATACTTATAGATAATACCGAGCGGAATTAAACAATTATATAAAATATTACAGAGTCGCGTACGCGGAACCGAACGGACAGAACGACGAGGACACAATAATCGACGCGAGAAACATCCGTATGCTACGATAGCAATAATATTATTGTGTTTGTGTGGTATGACAAAACTATATTGCTATTATTATTACTATCACTGTATAATATTATATTTTCTCCCGACGATCGCGCGTTCTGCTGTGCGTGTGTACAACGTATAGGCTTTGCGGCCGACTAACGCGACGACGACGACTCCCGGGCCAGCCAGCCAGACGACTCGACACACACGTACCCCACCACCGACATCGCCGCCGCCGAGGCCTGGTTACCGTGGTAACCACTGCCGCCAGGGCCGTGCGCGACCACTTTGACCGAACGGGTAGGCGGTCCCCCCCGCGATGGGCGCGGTCTCTGGGAGGTGGTGCGCGCTTTAGTGTTGCCGCTGCCACCGCTGGTGGACATGCATATTTGCTCGCTTCTTCGGTCGCATGGTCCACGGACTCGCGGTTAATATTAATTATACCTACTACCTATGTATTTTAACGTTCGAATATTATTATTTTTTTCGACCGAATTTATCGTGAGAATATAACATTATTGTATATGATGGAACGACACCGCATTATATTATGTACCTACATTTATATAATATAACGTTACTAGGGGAGACTGGCTTAATATGACATATTAGGGTAATATGACACATTGATGTTTTGATTAGAATTATTGATATTTATGAACCAAATCTTCTTTAAATACGTTACATATAACCTCCTACATACAATTGTATACAGCGATCACCGGTTTTGACCTTATCAGGGAATTTGATAACAAAAATGTGTTTTTTGTCTTATCAACATTTTTTAAAATCATTTTTTAAAATTAATTTTAAAATATTAAACCTTATGTTCCTTCTTTTTTTTTAATTCGAAGTTGAACATAAAAAGGCAAGCTATACTACAATTGTTTTATAAATAAGCTTATTATAATACTTTTGCCATAAATACTTTGAAAAAAACTTGTATTATATCAGGCAAAATGACATAGCAGTGCTTATTATTATATTAATTTCATATTTATATTATTGTATTAATTATGTTAAATATATTTCTAAAATTTTGTTATTTATAATAAAAAAAATTCATTTAACTATTAAATTCTAAAAATTTTATAATTTATTTCTATTGACCAGTATACAATGGTTGCTTATACAAATATGGTGTATGCCATTTTACCCGACACTCCGGGTAAAATGACATAGTAGGTACATTTAAAAAAAAGTGAATTAAAATTATTTGTTTATATTAAATGTACAATTAGACTTCAGAAATACGTGTATTATATAAGTACTAATATGTTGCTCAAGTTTCGTGTGTTAACTAACATTATTTCCTTAATTTTTTCAAAATTAAAAATTGGTATGTCATATTAAGCCAGTCTCCCCTATATGCAATTATAGGTATTTAACGAAAATATAATAATCGTGTGAAATGGTTCTTCCTATTTTTTTAAATTTCCGAAGTCAAATTAATAGATAGGTGTAAATATAAACGCGCATAAGAATAGATAATGTGCAGGTATTCTGTTATGCGTGTATGTTTATTAAATGTCTGGGTCGATTAATATTTTAGATTTGGAGAAAATCTGATTTTAACTGCGGGTGATTTGCAAAAGAACAGTTCTTTCGTCTAATAACGTTTTCTACAATTTCTACTTGCCTATAATTTCAATTCGTTGAATTGAATGTTACACCTGTATAGCCTATGTATATAGATAATCAGTCTCATTGGAAAGTTGGTGAAATATGCGTTGGTAAATATGGGTTATTACTTATTACCACTATAGCCACTATAGGTACCCGTGAAATCTCTTCGACCAAATTATAATTAACATCTCCGCAATTTATTAAAGCTTTATAATTTAAATAATATCATCTAAGTACAGGTCTATTTCAAGACTTTGAAAAACTATTCACAGACCCTATAATATCAATGAGACAATAACAATATGTTTAAAAATAATAATAATTCAGATTAGATTTGAGTTTTGACAGTCTTAATAAATTATTCACCAAATAACCAGTGTACATATGTGTACCAGTGTAACCAAAGTGTAGCCAAATAACTATAGTGTACCTGTGACCTATCTATAAAATATTATAACGAAGTCCTCCACTCAGACCAGTATACCAACACTATACCTAACTGAAACAGCCTCTATAGGTTATAACCTCTACAAAAGGTTTCGCTGTCGTCTTCAGTTCTAACTCATAATCCTTTAATATTGCCAGGAAAGCCTAGCTGCAAGTTGCAATCATAGAAGACTTAAAAAAACACAAACTAAAAACAAATTTTAAATACTTTTTTCTTTAAGTATCGCCATATTATTATACTATATGTGGGTGGGTATTTTAAACTTTATGTAGGTACATATTGTATCCAAAATAATGTTTACAGCAGGGACACAAACCTTTTTATAATTTATCGGTATCGGTTCTCCAAAAATAAAATATCTGTTCCAGTTTGGTTCTAAGTTTTTGGTAAAAAAAATAATGATGTCGGTTCCAAATAATTTCGGTTCTGGTTCCAGATAATTTCGGTACCAAAAAGTATAATAATTTTAAATACCTATCCGCGGAATGAGGGTTTAATTAATAGTGTGAGAAATATTAGAAAACTCATTATATGATCATACATAGATAATACACAAAACACTAAAACAGTAATGCCTTTAATTTATGATAAATAAAATAATTTTATTTTTTAACCTAAAAGTACCTTTTGAATTTATAAATTCCGGTCGGTTCCGGTACTTTATTTATCAAAATAAAGGTTTTGGTTCTTAACATTTTAAAGGTTCCGGTTCCAGATAATAATAATATGTCAAAAAATAAATACAAATATTATATTCCTGACTAAATATATACCAATATTGTTTTCCTTCATTATAAATATAATAACATTTACTTTTATTGTTCAAGATTTGAACTTGTTTGGTATGGCCATAATTATTTATGAACTTTTATTCTTATTTTTACGTATTGCGTCCTATTTATAGGTTTAGGTATATATTATAAAGGTATTATGTCATGGACCACAGATTTAAGTAAAACACATAATTATCGAACAAGTTTTGGAGGTAGGAACAGCAGTGGGTATAAGTATAGCCGTATAGCTGTATAGGCAAATATGCTTAGGTGTTAATTCACCAGATTCAGGATGACTTTTAGTCGGAATGCAGAACGGCGGAATCGGTGAATACGACCCAATAATATGTAATATTTTCTCAATACCTGTGATGGGATATACCAAGGTTAACCGGTTGCATTTAGATTGTATAGTATAGGTAGTAGGTACCCATGGGTTATGACTTATGAGTATTTATTTTATTCAGCCAATAACTAATTCAGTGGCGCATAATAAATAATATAATAGTTTCAATTATATAAACATGTTGTCTTAGAACCTTGTTTATGTCAATACATAGTTTGTTTTGAATGGACTATGTAAATTATTATAAAGATAACCAATATGGCTATAGATGAGATTTTAGTAGGTATGCATTATTATAGACGCAATTTAATACCACAGCGTGGTGGCTGTTTATATTATATATTATATCGGTACATATACCTATAGACTATAAACTATAATTTCTCACTTAAATAACTTAAAAAATTAATGTACCTACCTATGTCTTAAATAAATTTTTAATAGAAACCTTAAAGTTATTACTTATTACTTATTTATGTATATAAATATAATTATATATATAGGTACCTATTATTAGTTATTTATATGGCTACTTTATCGATAAGTTATGAAATACTGTATCTAGTTTAGTGTATACATTACTATACGTCTATACCTATGCAGTATATTAGTTAAATATAATATTATATGATGTACAATTAAAACTTAATGGTAAATGTCACTTTTTATTCCTTACAGGAATTATATAGGTGTTAGGTACTAATATATAATTAATTTTTTATAATATTGCTAGATATATAAGAAATTCGATTTATTCATTTTTGGTAGGTTTTATTACTACTGAACTACTATAATAGGAAAATATGAATAAATCAATTCGGAAAGAAATTTGTATTTTGTATATAATAGCTAACTATAGCATATTATACAATATATTATACATAATACATACGGATGATACGGATGTTACCCGCAGGAATGATGATAATAATTTAGGAAATGTCATGACTACCTAGTCATTGTTGACAATGACTTTAAAGAATATGCAATGTCGGATATTTTTTAGTTTTATCAACATTATACATTATATTAGGCAATGTTATAAATCCATATCAAAACAAATATAAACACCTTTATCGGTGGCATACCTGGCATACCTGGTAATATGGTCAACCTGGTTTTATGCGTTATCGTTATTTGTTTTTATTGCTTATAACTTATAAACAAATTGTCAATAATTGAGGATAGGTATCGTTATGGACACTTCCGGTATGATACATAAATGGATTTAAATTAAATGCGCTTAAAATTTGACAATAACCCAATTAATTGAAAATGCCAAACGGAACGCCAATAACTTTTTTTCGATAATGATAAATATTGAATATTGTGAACGAATCAAAGAAATAAAACAATCCAAAATCACCCTATATCCACGTCTGAAAAAAAGTGTACGAAAGATTAAAGGAATATTCATACGTACGATATTCTTGCTACAGCTGCAGTTAATCATGGTCTTATTAAAACCATATCCAATGTCACCGATTGTAAGCGTTATTACTTATTAGTTTGTTACGTATAAAATGAAGAGTATTATTTGATATCACTCATTCCACACATAAGTATAGAAATCAGTCATGGAGGCCTGAGATGTTTGAATTCAAATTAAAATACTCGAGTGTGACAAAGGAAATAATAATGATTTCAAAATAAAAAAAAATAAAAGTAATAAAGAATATTTAAGATTAAGATTTATTCGTAAATAATAAGTATTAGGTAGGTAGGTATATTATATTATTTGATTTTATCATCAATGCCTTCTTTTATTAGGAATTGTCATCAGTTACTATAGTTATTGACGTTAATTCCTTACTAAATCAGGCATTATCGTTGTTGACTATAGTCATTGTCAATATTGACTAAATGTTATCTTTTCCAGTAGCATATATTATTATACCGTGTGTCCGTGAAAATAAGGTACACAGTATATAATTAAATTACCCATATTAATCATTATAGTCATTGCCCTATACATATTTCTGAATTCAGTTTGCAGAACTTTACTATTGGATCATTAATCTCCCGTAGACAGAATTCTAAAATATGTATAGAGTACTGAATAACGTAGGTAACTGACTTAAAGAATGTACCCAGTTTTTGAGGTTAGTTTTTTTTAATAGCTTTAAAATATGGTAAGCAATTAGGTAAAAAGTCAATTTTTCTTAATTTAATATTTCTATAAAATGATATGTGTGCTGTAAAATGTCTTATTAGTTATTTATTAGTTTTAATGAATTATGTGCAAAATTATGGCTGTAGATATAAATTACTAATTAGGATACCTAGTTTTTATTGTAGGTATTGATTTTATTGTGGTAAATCGAAATAATAACAATAATTATTTTGAATCCCATTGCAAAATATTGCGTTACATATTCGTACTTATAAAGTGGGCCAGTTAAGCTCATAACCATTAATTACACCTTTTTATATTTCAATATCCTAGTATTAATCGAATACATCTATAATATTAATAGAATATTAAAAAAACTTGACATCGATTTCATGAATTCGCTCATGGCCTTGGTATTCTTGTATTCAATCATTAAAAACAATTACTTCAGACCTGCAAAGATGACACTAAGAAATGTGGTTGGGAGGGTGGAGGGACTAGCAATTCTCGTCATGGTTACCGGATTTCTGTTGTTTCCATTAAATCGTATATTTTTAATACATTTTCACGGAACGTTATTTGGTTTAGTTGTTTGATTTGTTTTTATTTTAAGTCACGTCACGTTAACATTTTATGAATTGTCGTTTTTAAAAAAATTACACCATTATAATGGAAACAGCCTCTATTGAACCAAACAGAACAACGGCATCACACAAAGCAAAGATAAAGGTGTTTTTTGAAAAAACCATTGGAAAAGGCACATTTGGGCAAGTCAAGTATTGTGTGGCAAAAGTAAATAACGAAACCATTGGCTTTGCAGTAAAAATCATCGATAAAAAGTCATCAGTATATCAATGCAACATATCGGCGATGAGCCGTGAAATTATCATTTCGAAAAAAGTCAATCATCCAAGCCTAATAAAGTTCATTAAAATTATCACACATCCTAATTATATCTACATGTACATGGAATACTGCAAGTATACCATCTTACTGCTATCTTGCTAATTAAGTGATAGTGATAACATAGCACCAACTGACCAACTTCGAAATTTTTAAATTTTCAATAATATGATTAGGTATTGTGGGCGAACAGGTCTAAAATCTAAATAAACGAATTTAAATCTGTTAAATTAACTTTATCACTTAGAAATCTCGATTCACCACTGGTTACATTAAATAATTAAACGATTCCAACAGCAAAATTTAGTAATACATCCTTGGGCTTACCTTAGATAAACGCCTAAACTGGATCGCACACGTAAAACTTAAGCTTAAAACTGTTAAAACTTGACTTAAACTCTTACGACCACTCTTGGAATCCAAGCACTCACTATCCAATAAACTTACCATATACAAGTCAATAATTCGATCAGTTTGGACATACAGTATTCAGTTATGGGGTTCTGCAAAGCCATCCAATACCAAAACACTTCAAGCGTTTCAATTCATCTGATTACGACTAGTAACGTCTTCTCCTTAGTATTTCACAAACAATAATCTTCACAATGACCTAAAAATTCCTGCCATTAATCAATTAGCAAAATTATATTGCATTCAATTTTATACTAAATTAAACTCTCACAGGAACATATTAATCAAACAACTATCCTCCATCTCACTTCTTGGTACCTAATGTACTTAGAAAACTCAAAAGACAGTGTCCTAGAGACCTAATTAAATAAAAGAAAAATAACAATTGGTAACACCTAAAAAGTATATGGACGGGTGGCAGTGATACTGCTGAGTGCCTACCCATACAGCTACTTCACGGTTCCAACCTTGTATCGAATTTACCAATAATTGTACTAATTGTATTGTATAGATTGTAAATAAAATGTTTAGTAAAAAAAAATTTAAAAAAAATACTTTATACTACTACTTAAACCTAACATTTCTATATTGTATATACAGTTAAAGTCAACACTTTATACATAGTCTCAAATCCATTATTTTAAAAGCATTTTTCATTTATATGTATACCTATATAATATGTAAACGCACAATGCAAAAATAATATGCATTGATTGTACTAAATTCTTACACTTTTCTTAATGTTTTTCACTGTACAAGAAAACTAATATTAGGTACTTATATATTATAATCTTAAATATCTGAAATAAATAAAATAACATTTTTTAGTAGCTGCCTATAACTAATTATTATTTATGTATAGTTTTTAAGCACTATAAGTTATTGACCTACCTGGCTTACCTATATATAATAATAAATAGGTTAGTAAGGTTTCAAAATAATAATCCATCATGTAAATTCCTACTTTTACGTTTAGAAATGGTGACATGGGTAAAACTGTTAAAAAGTACGGTCCTTACGTCGAACGTGATGCTCAATTTTTGTTTTCTCAAATCGTCGCAGCCATCGAGTACCTTCATGACCTGGACATAGCTCACAGAGACATTAAGCCAGAAAACGTATTACTGAACCATCGAAATGAAGTGAAAGTAGCTGATTTTGGGTTGTCAGTTTTTTGTAGAGATTCGACCAGCAATACACGGCAATTGTCTCGCTGTGGCACAAGGATGTTTATGCCACCGGAAGTATTGACTCCAAACAACGGATATAACGCCAAATTCTTCGATATTTGGTCAATGGGTGAGACACAACATGACGTATTTTAAATCACTAAATTTCAATAGGATTATTTTAAATCATAGTTTTTCCATGTACCTACTATTGTAAAAGTCGAAAATAAGCCTACCTACCTATATCTATGTTCCTACCAAATAATATAAACTCATTAGATACGATACGACATTACATTTCTGAGCCGCTTTGGCCAGAACACTGCAGGAAGTGTGTACATATCGAATACATCACTTGCTTTATTTAGAATCTAATATGTGTGACAACCGCTAACACAGTGCAATTTTATTGATTTCATTGTGTTGTAAACGCACAAATGATTAAATGTCAAAATGATTATGCAGAAAAATCCTATATAAGTCGTGGGGAAAAAAACGATTTTGATTATATTTTATATTATTATTAATTTCGGAAAATTTTTCATTCGATTTCTAAAGGTTACACTCAGTAATTAATATTCATAGTTATTATTAATAACCATTAAAAACAAAAATGTCAAAAACGTTTTAAATATGGACATTGTGAATTATTTTTAAATCAGCTGAAAAAAGCAAAGTCAATTAGAAAATTAATTAACTGGTTTAGTTAATTAGTTAAAAAAAATTTTCTCTTAAACTAATTAAAGCTCATCTTTTTATATTTATTATTTACGCCCCTACGAAAGATACCTTTATGCCCCAATAATAAGTATTTTACCATAACAGTGTTTAAAGTAAAAGGTACACTCCTGTTTGGTTTTGACGTGGTTTTAACTTATAACTAATCTATACTATATACTATATAGTATATACCATCCCCGAACCGTACATTATAACCCATTATACGAAACTGTTATAAATATATTTTATAACGATATCGTATACCGGGACCTACCTATTATAATATAATATATTATATTATATATAATACTACTTGCAGTCCCCTGGCCACACCATTAAGACCAGAGGACTACGAGATGTACTCCTACTGCGTTACAGGAGGTGTACTGCATTACATGTTGACCGGCCAGGTGCCGTTCGACGACGGCCACACTAAACGGATCGTCGCGCAACAGGTGTCGGGCGACATTGTTCTCCTGCGACCGATGTACAAGCGAACGGTTTCTTCGTCGGCTCGACGGCTCGTAAGGCACATGCTCGAACCAGACGTACTCAAACGGGCACACATCGAAGGCATCAAACGATCGAAATGGATGACTCTGATGGCTTAGTAGAGTTTGTTATAATCGAACTCTATAAGCCGGATGTTGTCATATTTTAAAACACTGCAGGAAGTATAGTTGATCAACATACCTGTTTTCAAAACAAATAAACTTTTAAAAAGATTATAATGAGTGTACGCGGGAAAAATAATAACTATATATTTTGGGTTGATTGTTTGATTAATTGATTTACATTTAGTACAAAATACCATATGGATTCCCTATTGTAAATGATTTAATCGATATTTAAAAAAAAAATGTTTATCGATTAGATTAAAACATCACAATGAGTATAGGTATGCATAACTTAAAGACATCAAACAAATAACCAATCAAGTATAGAAATAAGCTGTAGACAAATAGGTACTGTATTTCAAACAAGTTGGTATCAACTATAAGGTACATCGATAAATAACAGTTTATAACATTTAGCTAACTATATATAGACTATACCGTTTATGAGGAAAAAACTGAGTCGATATAGGTAGTTAGGTTGCTATACCTACTGCACTTGCTATACACATTTTATAACAAATAATAATATTCTAAAATCATAATTTATTGTGTTCCAATGTGCAGTGAAATATGTAAAGTGAATATCATTATTTTACAATATTATATACTTATATGTATAGGACAGTTGACCCCATGTGCTAAACCTGTTTAAAAATAACGGAGGCACCCTCTATTATATTATAGTTAGAGTTAATACCGGTCGGTAGCGGAATATTCCTCGGGTATCAATATTATAATAATTGCAACGAAGAAATATCTCCACAACGTCTTCCTGGAAATCGAAACAAGTTCCTCGATAAAACGACACATAAACATTGAGACTGTTTGTGATCGTATTTAATATGCACGTAATGATGTGTACGTTATTATGTAGATACTGGAAAAAAAATATGTCGTAAAAGTAAATAATTGTTCATTTGTACGTAATTATACAATTGTGGCCACATTGATGTTTTTCTTTCCGATTCATTCGTGAATAATAAAAAAATATAGATAGGTACTGACACATCGTTCCCCGAGTAAAAGAATAACCTTGTATTCAAATCAATAAAATTGATATAAGTAGTGGAATTATAAATTAATCGTGCAAAAATAGGTGGTATATCCGGTAGGTACCTACCTACATAATTTGACGTCTTGAATACATGTTACCATTTTTAAATGGTCTAATATAAGAGAAGATTGCCAAATGCCAGCATTCCAGTATGGACGTATGGTACTGAAATTAAAAACAATTAGTAATTAGTAATAATACTCATTATTAGTTAAACCAAGTTCAATGACCTATCATAAATTATTATTAATCACAGGTATAAAATATAATTGGTTTTAGAGTATATAGAACAACATAAAACAACAACGATTCATGAATCAACATTCAACAGTCAATTCACTTATTTCAGTGGCAGTGTTGGGGAAAAGTATCCTTTATTTGAATACTCAAGTCGAAATATCCAACGAATAAAACATTTAGAATTTAAAGTTGACAGATTTAAATTTTTAATCCAAATTTAAAAAAAAATTGAAAATAGACTGTTTAAAAAAAAAATAATAATAGGTAATATCATTAATAATAATTATGAAAAATTAATAAAATATTCAAATTAAAGGTATATTTAAGTAAGAATTAAATTGTTCAATGATTGCCAAGTGCCAATAATAAATTAGAAAAAATTATACATCTATAGGTGTATATAATATAATATACGGAATAGTACTTTATAAAATAATTATATTATATTTTAAATATTTGACGATCTTATTTAATTAATCTAATTAACATAAATATGTTTCCGGGCAGAGTGCAACTTTTTTTTTCTAACCAATTTTCACAAGGCCAATATTCGTAACGCTTGGTCTATTTCCATAGAAACGCAAATCAACAATAAAAACAAAATAAAAATAAATAAATTAGACTCCTAACAAAACGACGATACTAGATATTTTCCACTGCACTATATCCCAAAACATATCTATGATTCCTCGACTTTCTTCGTAGAAGAAAAATATCTATAGTAGCATGCTACATATTTATGTTATTATTATTTTTGACAGACTATTTTTCTTATATATTTCTTAGTTAGATTTTTTGTCCAATGTAGTTTTTGTTAACCCTTTTAGTCAGGATTTGCATTTGAAAAAAAATCCGTTTTATGTTATTTACAATTAAAATGTTACAATATTTTTGCGTTTATCGTTATTTAGAATTAAAACGTTATCCTAGTTTTGCGCTTATTGTTATTTAAAAAAGTGTTAATACCTATTGAATTTAAAAATAATAATTAATGCGGGTAGGTAATGGCTCAGATGCGGAATACAATATAATAAATTCTTAAATTCTTAGATTGCTTACATGAAATAATTGTTTCTACGAAACCAAACGACCTCTTAAAGTCTTAAATAATTAAATTTTAAAATATTTCGATTTGCGTTATTTTTCGTTTAATGATATTCTATAAATTACATTTTGCGTTATCTTTTGTTTAATGGTATATAATATATTTTGTTAATCGTTATGTTTTGCCTTGCGTTATTTAATTATTTTTTATTATCCCTTTCCGTTATAATACCGTTTACAAATTTCAATCGTTTTTTGTTAAATATAACGTTTGCAAGACGTATATTCCGATGAAGATTTCTCAGCGATCTACCCATTGATAACCAATCACAGCTGTATCCTATATGGATATATATTATATTATTAAAAACAATAAAAGTTAATACCAGAGACATAATATATATCTGAGAAAATATACAATTGATGAACATTTCGTAACAGTTAACTTCTGATTCTACTAGTTACTACCTGTAATAATGTATATAATATCGGTAAATAAGAAAAATTATCCATAGCAGGTATTGATATTTTTAATAAAATAATATTAACAATAAAAAAGTGTTGATGAAAATTAATTTTTGTCAAAATATAAATTTTTATGATCTCAATGATATCCAGCGTAAGATCATTATTATTTAGAAAATACTTTTTTTATTTTTTTCAGGGCCATTAATATACAAAATAATTATTAATAATCCAAAACGATGAGTTATCTCTTAGATACCGATCGATAAAAAAAAGATAGGGGTATTCAACCTATAAGTTATATTATGATAATTTTCTATAATATGGTTCAATGTTCATTTAATCAGATTGTATAATCTATATAGGTACAATAAATAATTTATTTAAATTAAGAAATATTAATATCCGTACGTTAATTATGTTTAAGCTTTTATTCTAAAAACGTGCTCATTAGTTTTAGAAAAAAAAAACAATTTAGGAGTATAGGTACCTGTAAATTGCAATATGCTTGTAATACGAGCATATTTAATTAGTAGAAGTAGTAAAGTGAGTTATTTGAATACAATATATGTATAAATTATTTTTGGTGAGACAAAAAACTATGTAAGCCTCCTTTTGAGTTGCAAAAAAGTAACTGGTTAAAAATTCGCCCAGGAAAAAAGTCGCCCAGAAATGTATGTGTTCTGGAGACTTTTTTATCAAGACTTTATTTTCCCTATACCTAAAATAAATATTATTGCACTATGCAAAATATTCTCGAAATTTGTATAACATTATAGATACAGTGGCGTATTTATGGGGGGGGGGAATTGCTCCGGGGCGCCAAATTCTGAGTCCTCAAAGGAGCGCCGTCGCTAGAGGTTATAACAAAATTATTTTTTTATTTTATTGGATTTGTTGAGAAATTATATTAGTGATAACTGATATAAGTGAATACCTGTATCTTTCTTATAATATCTTTTACATTTCTATAAATATAATATATGTATATATATAATGTATTTTATTAAATTGTCGTAAAAAAGGCTAAAAGGCTAAAATCTAAATTATAATTTGTTTATTGGATTTGGAATAAACGGAGTGTTAATGATAAAATAAAAATGTTCTCTAGATTTTGTTCTCGGTTTCGGTTTTATAATGGTTTATACCGGTTTCTGCACTATTAACTGAGAGAAAAAGTATATTGTAAATTAGAGGGGGTTTAAAAGTTTTTTGTGACAATGAATAAAAGGAAACTGAGAAAAATAGGGGCTCCAAAATGTGTGTACCTAGGGCGCCAAAATCGTAAATACGCCACTGCAGTATAGATAGGTATATAAAGGATTGTCATAAGCTTCATAGAGGAGAAATTCTATATGAATGCGCTGCACTATATAAAACTTGTGATCACTGATCACTGATAATACTATACTTATATCATTATTATTATTATTATTATTATTATTATTATTGCTATGATAACTATTATTGTATTGACTAATTTGCTTTTACTATTTAATTTTATCAGTGCTGTATAATAAACACAAAAATTTAATATTTAATAATATTTAACAACTTTATTCATAATATTTTGATGTCCAGAAATTAACTATACAAATTAAAAACACAATTTATTGTCCTAAATGAAGTGTGAAGATTTTTCATCAAAATGTCACGAGGAAAAATAAAATTACTAATAAATACCTACCGAAAAAAAATAAATTAAACAAAAAAAAAAAATACCTATTTTTTAAAATTTAAATGATTGTAATACTGCCGTAATTTATTCAATTTGGAACTTAGGACCCTGTAGGTATTATAGATAAAATCGTCTTAAAAATAATTTGGTCAATTCAAATCATGTGCTAAATACAGGGTGTCCCGTGAGGATTTACTCATTAGCCGTAGAGGGGGACTCGCCGCCCGGACAAAAACCAGTTTATTGACGTTTTACTAATAAACTAAAAAAATTATTAAAAATCATGAGATTAATGAAAATAAAATGTTAAAAGCTCAAAATGTTCACAAAAATATACTCTATAGAATGGCTATCTTCAATTTTTTCAAAAATAAAAAAATAAAAAAATAATTTTTTAACTTTTTTACTAAAAAATTTAATTTAATTAAAAAATAAAATATTTGTAGTGCTTACCTCTGCGAGTCTTAATAAAAAAACATAATTACGATATCTCCATTATTTCAGGAGATATCG